AAACCCCAAAACCCCAAAACCCCAAAACCCCAAAACCCCAAAACCCCAAAAGAGATTATATGAGTTGAACTAATACATTAAAATTATTAATTTAGACAAAGGAAATGAACGTATTTGAACCGAACGATTGGTAAGTACTTCGACCCTTTGGTAAAATTTCCCCAATAGTCTTGCAAAGTATTTTTATCTGGCTAGTTGATCCACTAAAATCATACAAATTCCTGCTGAAATCACAAACCTCACAAGGTTTAAAAGTCAATGGCATTTATTTCTTGAAAATAGTTTCCTTTAGAAATTTATTATATTAACCATCTCGTCTAGGAATCAGATTTTCAAAATTGTCTGACCTCTGGAACCAACACAAGATTACATTAATCAACAAGGGGATCAGGAAGGAGCTACACTCTTCCATCCTGCTTTCTGGACTATCCTAGGCCTTTTCATTCTATTTGGCATCTTGAGTGCTCTGAACGAGAAGTTATTTAACCCATGCGAAATTAGGAGTAAAAAAGACAGCTTCAGGATATCCGGCTCGGACCCATTTTATTCAGTTTCTGATGAAGACGCTTCTGAGTACAATCAAATCTTCAACAAAGATGACCCATTGATTAAGGAAACTTTTAGTAATACTCAGAAGAATATCTATGTTGGGATCGACAACTCCTTCAACCCGAAGGAGGACTCAGAGATCCTTTCAGAGAAAAATAGTAATTTTGAAAAACTAAGTTTTCAATATCTTCGAGAAGAAGAAATTAAGAAGCCTAAACTTGTTAGAGGAGGAGAAATTAAGAAGTCTCTTACTCATAATATCTACAGGAAAAAGGATTTTTTGACTGTTATGAGGTGATATAATAGCCAGACAGAGCCCTCGACAGCTTGAGAGCTCAGCCCACATAACAAGCTTGCTCGGAAGAGAGTGCGGTTTTGATAATCCAGAAAATTGGCTATATAAAGTACTCTAAACCACCGATATTTGTTTGTTAACTTAATAATTTCAAAAGTTATTATTAATCCGGTTTCTTTGAAAATTTCTTAATTGAATCATATTTCCCTGTTGTCTAACCTACCAGTCTCCAGAACCTTATTGAAAATAAAGAAGGTTTCTGGTAAAGTTATTAAGTCTGAAATATTCGGATATCCCATTTGTGAGCCCTGTTAAGAATTATTCTAAATTTCTTTTACCAAATTTGCTTTAAAACAAGTAGATACTAATCCTGTAATGGACCTTAGAAGCATCCATCAGGGTCCTGGAGTTCATAGCCTTGTTGATCAAAGCAAGGCAGGAGTCTGCCTTCGGTGGCTAACTTAGCCTACCATTCTACCGAATTATTTGCGTATTAGTAGGTTTTCCTAAACAGTATCTATCTTTAGCATTAAAATTAGAAACTAAAGCCAGATTGTTAACGAAGCCCCGTACATATTCCTTGCTGTAGAGCATAACCGGCCTTATTAGGGATTATTTTTCCGGAAAAATCTAGAATTTCGCATATCGTTAAGCCTCAAGGTCGACCTTTTACCAAAATTAACTTGAAAATTTCCCCTAAAATTACGGTTTGATGACCAGGAGTGTAAATTATCTTCCGAATCTGACTATAACTATCACAAAGACTGCATAGAGCTTTTGCATATTTTAGGGCACTCTAGAGGGCATAAAAGCAGTCTATAAATACTACTCAGCCAAGGCGATATTAATGTAAATCCGTCTAAAGTAGCTGAATCTCTCTTCCAAACGGTGAGAAGGTTTCCTAGATATTATAATCATTATAATCAAAATCTTTCTTCACATCTTGGTGGGCAGAGGCTGATTCACTGGAATTTGGAAGTTCAAAAATAATTTCGATTCCAAGTATAGGTCTAGTTGAGACTTTTGGAAGAGGTTAAACCTATATTCATCTGTTTTAGCACCAAACTGAACATATAGTTTATAACTTAGAGATCCTTGTAACAAATTTTAGGAGTATGAAACCCTCTACTGTCTAAGTTTACCAAATTGCCACCTTTTCGTACGACAGGTCTTCCCGAAGTTACAAATATGGCTCGAGTGTTCTAGAGCATCCTCAATAAGACGTCCGAGTAATAGAATTATATGAAGGTTTCTAAAAATCTTACGAGGAATTAGTATATCAAAGTTGGCCTTCCAAGGCCGTTCAGAAGATCTACTATTTCCATAAATTTTAGGTAAACCGAGATTTAGAAATTTGGTTAAGAAAGAATTTTCGATATGGATGAGAACATATAGCATGCTCACCGTTATATGCTTTTGGATACTTTTTATAACAATTCCTTAGGGATGATTTAGTTCACAAAGAGTAACCCGACCTCAGTAGCCCTAGGCCAGATCTCCTATTCCCAGCACAGAAATCATTTTTCAAACCTCCAGAGTTTTTACCAATGTAATTATTATCCATCCTTCACCGCTATTTTCTTCGATCAAATTTAAAAGTTTCCAAATATTCCAAAATTTAAAATCTAGCCAGCTAAAACTTCTAATTAAGCACAAGTAAATCTTGTGCTTAATTTCAGCGGGTTTCCCCCTCTCCAGCGCTCTCTACCAAATTCGAAATTTTCCGAATACATCCAAATACGTCCTCATACTTCTCACCCTTCTGTACCCTACAGCCTCCCTTAATTCAAACAGAGTAAAGAAAACCCCTATGGCCCTCTTAGATACCCTCAGTAATCTCTGAGAGCCAGTCCATTAGAGCTCGAGAACTATAGCACTTGTTATGCCAATGCCGAATCAATTTGAATGAAACTGCTCTTAAGATTTTAACAATGAAGTTCATATTATCTCAGGTCCAAAATTATAATCTCTTCACGGCTATATTTCATCATAAATTATATATCAAAAAGCGAAACTTTTTAATACTATTAATCTGAAACGTATGATCCCATCACTTGGAGAGGGACCCTTTGTTATACAATTTTTCAAAAGTACGTAAAATTCTTAAAATCATTAAAAAATTTCCAATCCTCAGTTCACCGGATGAGTAAAAACTAATCCTTGGTAACGATATGCACTAAACCTGAAAAATCTGGTTAAATTTAAAGAGTTATCAATTTGTGGTGGCATAAAAGATAAAATAATGCCATTAGGGAGTGTACGATGCACTGTTGTAGCATGTACAACCATGAAAACCTGAAAGCAGTGCTAATAGTACTACCTCACCCAACGATTTCCTTTTTCTTGGCCCAAGTACTCCATTTTCAATCATGATTCATACATATGGGGTTTTGGGGTTTTGGGGTTTTGGGGTTTTGGGG